TATATATACACATTTTTTAATTGACTTAGAGAGGAAGGGAGAGGGAGAGAGAGAGATCATGATGAGAGAGAATTGTTGATTGGCTGTCTCCTGCACACCCCTACCAGACATTAAGCCTGCAACCCGGGAATCGAACCGTAACCTCCTGGTTCATAGGTTAATGCTCAACCACTGAGCCACACTGGTTGGGCTAGAATATGTCCTTTTTTTTAAACTAAGTTTAGTGGCCTCTGTTCTGAAGGACCCAGCAGATAAAAACGAAGGCCTGAAGAAGTATGGATTTTATGCCCTTAATTATCATATGTTTATATGGCACTTATATGTCAGGCTTTGCTCCAAGCACTTTACAAAAACTCACTTGATCCTGGCAACAAGCCTGTGAAAGGGCTATCATGGCCCCCATTTTACAGATCAGAAGAGAGGTTCGCTAGTAGCCCACGATGGCACAGCTAAAAAGTAGCAAAACATGGCTTTGCACCCAGGCAGGCTGGCATCAGAGCTCCTGCTCGTTGACACTGTGCTCAGCTACTTCGTTATGTGATCGTGAGAAACCAGGTTTGTCTAAACGTGGACTGTCCGCTCCATAGCAGAGGTACCCCCTGACCACCTGGGACCAGCCACTGGGCAGAGCAAAGCTGAACGTCCTTGGGCTTTAGGGGCAGCCACCAGACTTCCCACCACTTTCCCATCCTGGACCCTCACTGGGTCGTTGTTCCCTTCTCGAGTGCTTTCTGATTGCTCAGTGTTAGGAAGCAGGCAGAGAGGCCACTCAGCCTAGAGCTGGAGACAGAGTTGGTCATTTGAGCCACTCTGTCTGTCTCCAAGAGATATTAACAGAAAACAAATATCAGCGTGTGATTTCCTGAAGTTCTGTATTTCAGGAGCCAGGGCTGGTTTCCTGGCGACAGTGTAATTCCCATAAGTCAGGGCTCTGGGAGGAGAGAACGCTGGACCAGACCTCGGGAGAGCTGGTTCAAGCGTGGGCTTTGCTACTGAACTGCTGTGTGATGTAGGGCAAGTTACTTCCCTTCTCTGGGTCTCAGTTTTCTCACCTAAAATAACAGGAGGGTAGATCAGATCCAAGGTTCTTGGTCTGTGGATCCCTAGGGAATCCAGGGATGGGCTTCAAATGTTCTAGGAATCTCCCCAAATTGTATGTGGTGTTTTAGAAATGTAGTTAAAGGGAGAACATAGATTCATCTGGTTTTCAAAGGGATCCACTATTCCTGTGTAATTTCCACACTCACCTGCCAATTTCCACTCCTCTTTTTTCTAGTTCTAAAATTCTAAGATTCTATATCTTAATCTAAGTCTTTGTACTGCACCTCTGCCTGGAGCCTTCACTTACAGAGAATGACAAAGGAGAGCCAGGACATTCATCAAAGCAAGGACCAGTACGTGAATCTCCTGATGTGATCTAGTCTTTTTCATTCATGTATACATTCAATCGTGCATTCACTCATTGTAATAATTATATGACATTCAAATAACTTTTGACCAGTAATTCCACAAATGCCCAGAGTCTCAACAATTCCCCAGGGTCCAACACAATACCTAGCACACAGTAGGCATTCTCTATGTATTTGGTGACTAAAACAGTGAACTGGGAAGCTGACTAGGTGCTGGGAGTGGGACTACTGAGAGAGGAGGCTAAACCTCATATCAGGAGACCCGAGTTTTTGCCTCAGCGTGGCTCCACACACAGCCTCTTCCCCTTTGGACGCTCCTCTTTTATCTGTGAAGTGAGGGAACTAGACTAGCCAAGCTCCCAGGCACCTTCCGGACTTAATATACCAAGATGTCAAGACTATTCCAGGTCACGCAGTGGGTTCTGGGAAAGAGCAGTGCCTGGGGGTTCCCTGTCTCAGGGAGTTCTCTTGAGAAGTATATTATTAGTTTTCTATTGTTGTGCAACAAAATAGCCTAAATATTAGCAATTTACAACAATAAGTGTTTCTTACTTCACACAGTTCCTGAGGGTTGGGATCTGGGTAGTTCTGCTCAGGCTGGCAGTCATCTGAAGGTTCGACAGGGGCTGGAAGTTCTGCTTCCAAGCTACTCACATGGCTGTTGACTGGAGGCCTCCGTTCCTTGGGTTTCTTCCCAGTGATGTTCATGCCACGGCAGCTGGCTTCCCCCCGAGCAAGTAGCCTGAGAGAGAGAGTCACCAAGATGAAAGCTGCAACATCTTTTTATCACCTAAGCTAGGAAGTAACATACTGTCCCTTAAGTTGTATTTTACTGGTTGCACAGATCAATCCTGGTATAATGTATGCAGGAACTACACAGGGCATGAATGTTGGGGGGTGGGGAGCATTGAGGACCATCTGGGAGGCTGGTTACCACACCCAGGCCAAATCCCACAAGGCCCCCATTTAGACAAGGCCACTGTGCATAACTTTTCGGAGGGTGGGTATCAATGGGACGAGTTTGGGCATAAGCCAGCCAGTATCATCAGTGGAATGTCCTACCCACACCTTTCCAAAGCAAGCCCAGGAATTCTGCAAGGCTCCTCACTGAAACCCCCCCGTCCAGCGCAGCCCTGCAAGGGTGAGGTCAGAGCGGTGCAGGAGGCTCACAGGATCACCCCAAACAACCCAGAAAAACCTCAATTAACCAGAGCAAAGTGAGCCAAGACCATCACTTCATCATATTTTTTTATTCAACTTCCCCACATTGATAAAGAAGCCTGAATACCATGGTGGATGATAAAGAGACAAATGGCAGGCAAGTATGTTGCTATGAAAGATGTAAAGAATCCATTGATGGTTCTGTATCTACAAGCTTGTATACTCTCTATGTCTAAAATATCGCAAGATCCTGCAAGATCCAGAAAGATCAATGAATGATCTGTTATCTTACTTTGCTCGCTAAGGCAGAAAAGTGAAGTAAAACATTTCAGGAAGTTTTAAAAAAAAATCAACATTTTAACAATACAGGCATTTTGCTGAATATTCATCTAATGAGGAAATGAAATTAACCAGACCATTTCACTTCCTCTTTAAATGGGGTTGAATTTCTTGTGGCAGCGACTCAGACTCCATTCTCCATTTCCCCGACATATCCAGCACTTCCACCCTGCCCTTCATTCCTCCTCAGCCTGGAATTCTTGGTGAACCCAAACGTGGGTTCTAGCTTCTGTTCCTTCTCTTACATTCAAGGCATTTGGCCTCTCTGAGCTCCTTTCTCCCCACTTAGAAAAGGAGATTAAAGGCCCTAGAGCAGTGGTTCTCAACCTTCCTAATGCTGCGATCCTTTAATATAGTTCCTCATGTTGTGGTGACCCCCAACCATAAAATTATTTTCGTTGCTACTTCATAACTGTAATTTTGCTACTGTTATGAACCGTAATGTAAATATCTGATATGCAGGATGTATTTTCATTGTTACAAATTGAACATAATTAAAGCATAGTGATTAATCACAAAAACAATATGTAATTATATATGTGTTTTCCGATGGTCTTAGGCGACCCCTGTGAAAGGGTCGTTCAACCCCCAAAGGGGTCGCGACCCACAGGTTGAGAACCGCTGATCTAGAGGAACTAAGGAATTTTGCTAAGGTTACACAACTGTGTTTTCTGATGGTCTTAGGCAACCCCTGTGAAAGGGTCATTTGACCCCCAAAGGGGTCGTGACCCACAGGTTGAGAACCGCTGCCCTAGAGGGCCCTAGCCAGTTTGGCTCAGGGGATAGGGCATCAGTCTGGGGACTAAAAGGTCCCAGTTTCAATTCCAGCCAAGGGCACATGCCTGGGTTGCGGGCTCGGTCCCCAGTAGGGGGCGTGGAGGAACCAGCCGATCAATGATTCTCTCTCATCACTGATGTTTCTATCCCTCTCTCCCTCTCCCTTCCTCTCTGAAATCAATAAAAAATATTTTTAAAAATAATAAATAAATAAAAGGAGATTAAAGTACGTGATGCTTTGGGTCCCTTTCACCCTAACATTCTAGGGCCCTTACATTGCCCATTCTCTCTGTCGTCACTTTCTGAAATCCAACTGTTGGTTTTTTTTTCAGGATGCAAGTAAAACACTATCACCACCAGGGAGCCTCTCTTATCTCTGTGGACAGAATTTCTCCCTTCTTTATGATCCTGCAATTAATAGGTTGTTATATGTATTATGCAACAAGATACTAAGCTCATTGAGGACAGGGGCCTGGTCCTTCTCCTCCTTATATCCCTTAGCACTGCACCTAGCACACAGTAGGTGCTCATCCTGTGGTTTGAAAGAAGTCCAAAAAGTGTTGTGATTTTGCTGCACACTGCTGTAGTGGCTGCCCTCAGCCAGCAGGGGGAGCACTTTGCTCCTTCAAAGAAAAAGCCAATTCTGAACCTGTGAGGAGCTGATGGATGGATTTACCTCTGAGGATGAGAAAGGCCCCTGGGCCTAGGATGAAGGCCGGGATGAGAGAGAGATTGTTCTTTCTGACTAAGAAACCACCATTTATTTTGCAACTTGGTAAACAGAGTAACATCTCAAGAACAGAGAGCAACCTTCATGATAAATTCAGAGCACTTCCTATCTCTAAGGCCTTCATGGAGTTACAATGCGGATACATTCTTGATTAAACACTGTGTAACTTGGGGCATTAAGTCTGTGATAAATTGGGAGATAGAGGCCTGCAACCTCATTATTTTTAAGGATATTTAATTACAAAATTCTGTAACAAAATTACAGCCTTATTAAAACGGTTTTTCACCAAAGAAGGGGGTCTCAAAGGTTGAGATAATGCCAACAGGATAGGTACTGTGCCTTTTGGGTTTTCTAGGAGCTCCCCTGTGCCACTGAACTTGGTTCAGATAGAGGAAAGAGGCTATAAATAGTTCCCTTCAGAACACAGCCCCTTGGGGAAGGTGGCCTCTCTCTTTACCTGCCCCCACAGATCCTGGAGTGCCAGTCAGCTAGGATTCTAGTAGGGAGAGCTGTTTGGTGGATAAACCAGCTTCTCTTCAAAAGAACAAACATCTTCATGTAATGGGTGGCTCGTTAGTCACTCACACCTTAGTATGAATTACACCATGGGGGGGATTGTTTACCCTGAGAATGGTCAATTTAATTGTATATTAAAATAAGTCATAATTTTGGAGCACAGAATACTCTGCAGGAGGGAGACCAGAGTGATGAGCCTCTGCAGGGGGGCTTTGGGCAGCCAGAGAGTGGTGTGGTGGACATGGAACAGAGGGGCACCGAGAGGTGAGTAACAATGCCGAGACCACACTGATAGCCACAGCCCCTAGACTGTTCATAGAGCCAGCTCCTCCTCACCAGTCAATGCATCAGACCACAGGCCCTAATTGTTCACTCAGAAAATATGGCTCCTGGCTTTTCTGGGAGTTAACAGCTTCTTCGCCATCTAGAAGCAGAAACGTGGCAATCCTGGTGGTATGACCTTGGGGTACTTGTTTCAACTCTCAGAAATTGAGCCCTGATCTCCTCAACAGGCAAACAGGGAGAGGCATCTTACTCCCCTCCTAGGAGACCCACTGGTGAGGACATTACTCTGCCTAGTGCACAGTGAGCCCTCCGCTATTGCTGCTGCTGCTGCTGTTGCTGCTGCTGCTGTTGCTTTACTATTGTTGCTGTTATTGTCAGTCTCTGGCACATGAGAGGCCCTCGATAAACCCCGGCTGGTATAATTACAGAGTCATTCTGTGTCCTGCATCCAGGGTCGGCCTGTGACACAAGGTCTGCTGCTCATTACTTACATCCACGTTAGCATCTCACCCCTGAGCTGCCTAATTAGGAGCTAGAGAACGGTGTCGAAATAAACCAAGAAATCTGACAACCCCAGCTGTGTTTCTCTTACCCCCCGTCACTGTGCAGACCAGGCAGTGCTCCTTAGGAGGTGAGTGCTACTTCTAGGAATTAGATACTCTGGAGCCCTGGTAGAGATGGTGTGTAAGTGCCAGGTGCCTTGTGGCAAAGCTCCGTCACGTTCCAGCAATGTCACTTTAGGCATATCACTTAACCTCCTTTCTATTCCTTCTCATCTGCAAAACAGAGACCATGTCAGTGAGGACCTGATGTCGAGGAGGAATTCAATCAACATTAGCTTCCTTTCCGCCGGCCCCTTCCCCTGTCCCCCACCCTCCAGGAAAGGCCTAGAACATCAGAGCTGCAGGGAATCTGAAAGGCCAGCCAGCTCTGCCTTGTTTCCGGGAGAAGAAAGGACATACAGTGGGACAGAGGTAAGCCCAGATGAGAGGTCAGGTGGCCCCCTCCAAGTCTACGCTCACCCCCCAGTGCTGCTCTGCCCCCCGATCACCATGGTGGGGCTGCTGGCGCAGAGCTCAATTTTCCTGGTCTGTTTAATTGGGGCTGTGGCTCTCCTCATTCTCTGACATTACATCAGTGGAGCTCTAATGACCATTAGCCACTGTGGTTTCTCCCTTCCGAGGCTGCTCATGTCTTTGGCTATAAACTCATTTGTAAGCATTTGTACTCTGCTCGTATTCGCAGCCCATCTTAGGAACTGTGCCTGGGTCTGGGCTTCTCCTTACAAGCACAGGACTCTATTCAAATTCACAGGCCCACGTCTGTTTCCTGGAGCACATCCAAGTGTGGGTGAGTGAGAACAGGCAGTTTATAATCCCGAGATGCTAATCTACCTTTCCAGGTCCTGAATGTGGTGGCGGAAGTAATAAAGATGGAGAACAGAATAGGTTCCAGGCCTGAATGAACAATTAAGCCTCTTTTTAAATGACCAAGAGCAATATGTATTAGGTACAAACTAATTACACGAATTAACAACAGCCACTACCAAAAAACCCCAGACACTTCAACTATATCAAATACGGAGGACAAGAAATAGAAAGCATCTTATTTTTCATGCATCCTGTTATTTTAATGCCTATCTGTCCAATTAACCCAAGTCCTAGCTCTGGCCTCAGTTTACCCCTGGTCCAGGATGTATAGGGGAGTGGTCCAAAGAGGAAGGAGGCAAAGGTGGATAAAAAGACCTCTGAGTTTAATGCATAACATACTAGTCCAAGGGCCTCTTCTCCCCTGCCACTCCAATCATTCATCCAGTAAATATCTACATAGTAACTCTTTTTAAAAATATATATATATTATTGATTTGTTTCAGAGAGGAAGGGAGAGGGATAGAGAGTTAGAAACATCGATGAGAGAGAAACATCGATCAGCTGCCTCCTGCACACCCCCTACTGGGGATGTGCCCGCAACCAAGGTACATGCCCTTGACCAGAATCAAACCTGGGACCCTTCAGTCCGCAGGCTGACGCTCTATCCACTGAGCCAAACCAGTTAGGGCTACATGGTAACTCTTCACAAGCATTGTACTAGGTACTGGGGAGGTAGCAGTCCCTGCCCCCACAGCGCTGACATGCCCAGTGGGGAATATAGATACCAAGCAAGCACACAACAGATAAATAAGCTCATCGCAGAGAGTGGCAAGCCCTGAGAAGGCAACGCAGTGAGTTAATGGGACAGTGAAGAGCTGGGCTTGCATGGGAGCACCTTGGATGGATGGCTGGCATCGACAGCATCTTTGAGGAGGTGACCTCTGTGAGCTGAGACCCGTATCATGAGCAGCCAGTGATGAGCTGCGGGATGAGATGGGAGAGGTAGGCAGTGGCCCAATGGTATAAGGCATGGGGAGGCAGGGTGAGGAGTGGTGAAGTAGAAACAGCTCCTGGGGTCAGACAAACCTGGACTTTAAACTCAGCTTTGAGACTTAACAGCAGTGTGACCTTGAGCAGGCTACTTCACCTCTGAGCCTCCTCTTTGAAATGGGGATGATGATAACAGGACCAATCTCACATGGTTAATGTGAGGAATAAATGAGAGAAGCCATTCAAAGCACTTAGTGGAGCACTAGCGTACGGTCAATAAGTTATAGCTTCTATTGTGAACTTCATATCATGGACTCCCAAGGCCAGTGCGCACAGGCCCTGGGCCCAGTTTCAGCCACCACCACGGAGGAAGCCACCAGGTGGCAGTCTTTCCAGCTTTTCTAGTGGCATCAGTGCCTGGTCATGATTGTTTCGTCCTTGTTTTTTTCATCCAATAGGAGAATACAAAGACCCGATCCTCTGAAGACTGGTTGGGTACGGGGTTACTGGAAACATACAGGAATAGTTTCTGATTTCAGCAACAACATGTCATGGAGAGAACACCAGGCTAAGAGTCAGACCTGGATTCTAGTCACCACTTTGCCATAGAGCTTGGCAATGCACTTGGTTCATCTGGGCCCCAATTTCCCCATCTACCTACCCCATGGTATCATCGTGAGGCCCAATGGAGGTCCTGTGTATGGCATGGCTAGAGGCTGTCTAGAGTGTGCGTGAGTGACTTGCTTTCTGTTCACTTAACCTCGGCTTTTTCATCTATAAAATGGACATAATAACAGAATCATCGGCTTGTGGGGATGACTGAAGTAATTAAAACAAGTGAACAGCATGCAGCACATGTAATTGCTGCCTAGGTGTGTGCTGTTACCATTTGTAAACATCGTTCAGGTGGGTCAGCTTGTGAACACAGGCCTTGGTGGCTTTAGTTGGGTGACTGCTGGGGAACTGAAGAGAAAAGAGAACGGTTGACAGAGGATGACTCCTCGGGAATCATGATTAAGCAGAGAAAGGAGAGAGTCCCACATAGAGATGGAGATGATGGAGATGGAGAGGGAGAGGGGATGGGGATGGTCACAGTAACCAAGTCAGGGAGCCATCTCCTGCCCCTGCCCCTGCCCCTGCCCCTGTTCCCAGGCGGAGAGTATAGGATGCAAGGGGGGTGGGCATCACCTGCTGGCCCTATGGCCCCAGCCTGTTCCTATTCCTCCCTCTTTCTGAGGAGTTGGGCATCGATTCCCTGCTGTACTGTACGCTCCTTGGAGGCAGAAAAGCTCTTATTCGTCGTTGTTCCCCCACTGGCCTAACACAGAGCCCGCACCTAACAAGCCCTGGATAAATGCTGGCTGGTGACCCATCTATCCTTGGCCATGCTGAGAACTGATCGCATCCCCGACGCCCCTGGGCTGTGCGCTGAGCCAGAACTCTGCCAGCCCCACTCTGCCCGTGACCTGCGGAGGCTGGCGCCCGTGCTAATGTCCTTATCTGTAAATGTGTGCGGAGCATGTCAAAGTCACAGGCAGGAAGAACGGCACAGCACCGGCTGGATTTCCTGGGCTTCCCACCTGCCCTGGACCTGTCCCTCCTGCCTTGAAGGCTCTTAGGAGGGAGCACATGGCAATGAGTGCCGTGCAAGGGAAGGGAACAAGTGTGGGGAAGAATTGCAGTCACAGGGAGGGCGGCAGGCACAATGGAATAGGCCCAGCGTGGGAAAAAGGGCACCCGCGTCCCTAATCCTGTTTTGCCACCTGTGAGTCTTGTTGTCAGGGAGGGAGCACTCCATCTTGGGCCTGTTTCCTCAACTCCACTACAGCGAAAATGTAAATACCCACTTCTGTGTTACCAAGGACATCGCGCCTGACCCACAAAAAGTGCTTAACTGCTGTTGAATGACTGGACGAGATAGTGCATGAGACAATGCTCTGTAAATTCGAAAGCACTCCTGGTAAAACTTTTTCTACCCAGATACTCTAAAAGCCACAGAAAGGGTCATCACACACGCCCATCTTTTCAAAGCTCACGCTTTGTCTAAAACACGCATGCACGATTTTGCATTCGACTCCATGAAGTATCCAGAATTATTGAAATGAAACGTGCATTTTCCATTTCTTATCTGTGAAATTACCTGCCACTCCTCCTCTTGCCCCCATCCCTAGCACATCTAGTAAAAATGGGTACTCCAGGAAGATGTGGCACTTTTATCTGGGGTAATTCATGGACCTGGAGTCTTTCCTAACACCCTGTTTAAGGAACATGGTGAAAGAGAGCTCCACAGGTTCAGTTCTTTGTATTTAACATTTGGGTGGGCCAGCTCTTTGGCCTTTAGGTCCCACTGACCCCTGAGGGTCCAGAATGAGCTCCTTGCCTCCACACTGCAGGCACGGCAGCCCCAGCCGGCAGGCAGCAATGGAACAGATCAGGCAACAGCCTGCGGGGCTCTCCACTCAGAACTCTGTTCTTGCTGCCTGACCCTGACCCCCTGTGTCCCTGGGGCCTGCCCTCCCCTCCCTGTCCCATGCCCTGGCCCTGCCTTGGAGCCCTTGCCTGCCTCCCAAGGCATCTAACCCCTCCTCCCTGCTGCCTGCGCCCCAGCTCCACGCTCACAGCCATCACATGGACCTCTCGCTGAAAAGCGAATTGTGCTCCAGCTCTTAAAGACCTCCAGGGGAGCAGTTTCTACAACCTCTGCAGGAATCTCGTTCTAACATCTCACAACTCGCACAGAGAAGAAAGCCTTCTTTTCATGAAATCTCAATTCCTTTCTGTTGCTGTGAGCATGGAGCTGCTTTTATCCTCGACTAGTTTGAGCTACACTTAAACAACCATAATTCCTCGTGATTTTCTCCCTACTTACCCGAGCGTGGAATGTTGGCTCTGCGCTGGTCAGCCCTCATTTACTGTGTGCACAGCCGTGGGGCAGGGCTGGGTCCTGCCTCAGAGGCCCGAGCAGAGAGACACTGAAGCCGATGGACCCTTCCAGCAGAGGTGGGGCTGAGCCAAGGGTGACCCCGCAGTTCTTTGGGTGCCTGGAAGAAATGAATCAATTGACAGTGGCTGAGGGCCTCCTGTGAGCCAGACCCTAACGGTGTTTATGGGAAATATAAGACCAGGCCTTTATCCTCAAGAATATCCTATGAAAGAAGCAATTATTCGACTCTGTGGGCAGTGGGCAATGCCCAAGATACTTGAATTTATGTCCCAGCTCTGCCTTTTATTAGCTGTGCCTCGTTAGACAAGCCCCTTCACCTTCCTGAGCCTGCACTTAGGATCTTTTTTATTCTGTTGAATGCTACACAAATGAAAGGAATACCATAGAGCTGGGTGAGGAGAAGATGAAGGCAGAGGCACCTACAGATCTGCCATCGTAGGAATACAACTTCCAGGGGCTAGAGGTCTGGGAGTAAAGAGAAAGCGATGAAAGTGAGCGACATTTCAAAGGAAGGACAGGCAGGCGGAGGTGACAGGCTGGAAACCGAGATTGGAGGACAGAGAAGAATGGCAATGGTTATCGTCTGTGGAGCACTCACTACGTACCGGGTGCTCTGCTGAGTGCTTTGCATATATCATCTCACGTGCTTCTTAGAAAAGCCCCGAAATTAGTTTTATCATCCTCATTTTACCCTTGCATCTGGCAGGTTATAACAATACCTCCGGACCCTGAAGCTGAACCTGTGAGAAATCCCTTCTATCTTTAATGGAATTTGGTGTCAAGATGAGGGTGGAGTTTAGGACAAATCAGGGAAGAACCAAGAGGTGCAGAGTTAGGTGGTGGGGGAAGGGAGGGCTCAACAATCCCTGATCAATGAAATCCCTGGCCATTTTCAAACATGGGTCCCTTTTCCCAGGGGCCATAAATTCTTGCCCATCTGTTCTCATTAGCCCTCCACTTCTACCCTACTTACTCTCTGGATAGTCTATCTTCTCATTCCTCCTTCTCTCTTTTCCCTATGTCTGTCTGCCTACCTGTTTATCTGTCTGCCCCCCCCCCCCCCCCCCCCCCGCCCA